ATAGGCTATCAAACATCACCCCATGATCAATAGGAGCCGAGGAGGTGAAACCGCTCGGCAGTAGCTAGTGCTAGCTGTCTAGTGTATTATAAAACCTAGTGATTATTTTCAATATAGTGTCACATCTCTTTCCGAAGATGGAACATAATATAACTATATGCATCCATTTACGTTCACTACTAATTAAGTAAATATATGTATATCACATGATTGGTAATAAATTCTAATCGTACTTAAAAACATTAAGTCGTTACTTTAAAACTCATACGCTTATCACGTAAACTATTCTCTAACTAATACAGGATGCTTGTTAATAACAGTGGAGTTTCGAAAGTGCCTCGACACATGGGCACTGATTCGATTCACTTTGAAACTTGCATTTGAATCGAGTTTAACATGCCACAGTACTTAAGACTTGTGGTAAGTTACTGCAGCTCACACAGATACATGGAAAGTTGAAAAAGAGTTCTCAGCTACATTAAAAGTCAAATTATGGCATTGCAACGACCGTTTGATAAATATTCTGAAGATTTATGCAATGTTTTAACTCATAATTTTATGGAATGTTATTGTAAAAGACAAAATTTAACACGTTAACAGCCACGTAGGTTATCAGTGACCAATCGTAGTGGGGGATTTTCCTTCAACAGTTTACTACAGGCAGTCAAAGGCTTAACCTAAAAAATAAGGTTCTGAAAATGAGCGTCCTAAAAAGAATTATCTATTATTCTGACATGAAAATCTTATTCAAAGATAACTGACGAAAATAATGTCCAACATCTGTCTCAACATCGAGTTCAATCGATAAAAGCGTGTTGCGTTAAATGGTAACATCAATTTTACTTAATTAAACAACTTAAATTAATCACAAACTTTTGATTCAACTTGGATGCTTCGAGTTCCCAATAAATTGCTTAAAGATCGTGTTTGAGCGAAGTCTAACCTTGTGGAGTTACGACTAAGTCTATTTTGACCACATATGTAGGTGGGTACATTCGATTGGCTACGTGCACGGGTTTCGTCAGACGGACACGTCACACGATTACACGTTGCAACTTGTTAAGAGAATTACGTTATTCAATGACTATCAAACGCTGAACTCAGCGTACCAGTCATACTGAGTTGAATGAATCCAAATAAATTGGATTAATTCACATACAAAGTTGGCTTGTTAGTGAATCGAGTACAAATCAATGATTCCGCTTTTGTTTCATATTTCCTATGAAATAAAGATATAATTTTGTTTATTTATTTTTAGTTTTGATAGCCCATGTGATGCTTATATATATATGCTTATTTCTTAAGTCAAGGTTTAAAAGCCTTTGCATAATTTACTACCCCAGTTCACCCCACAATTTAAAGCTGCATGAAAAAAACGGAATTTCTCGGATATTTCATTGAGATCAAAATCAAACAATACATTTATAATTTTTATGATAGCTTTCGTGAGACATAAATTCTATTTTAGTTTTACTTACTCACGTTAATTTGACGAGATACTCGACTAGTTTCAAGCCCTGCTAGAGGCCCATATTCAGTATTTAGTTATAAAGTTATTAGTTATTCAGTAGCAGCGCGACAGTCGCCGCGTCGCGTGTCGCGGAATGCTGCTCATGAATATGGAGCTCTAGCATGGCTTGAAACTAGTCGAGTATCTCATCAAATTATTACGTGAGTAAGCCGAAAACATAATAATTAACATTTATAATTAATCAAAAATTATTGCTAATTGATTTGAAAAATACTTATTATCATTTGTTTATTGCAGTAACGTAGTTCAACTAGAGGCTAATAATACATAATGCAAACCATTTATGTATATTGAACTCTTACAAGGTGGATCGGTCCCATCTTCTAAGTCGCTAGTAGCCAAAATACTCTATACAAAATATATTATTTATTCTGCCGTGGACGGCTCCCATTGATAATGGTGGTGACTTATCTTGCAATTAACTAAGTCATGAACTCGCGATGTCTACTTGATAACAGACTCTAATGATTAGTTTTCCAGTCATCCGTCACACAATTAACCCTAAACCTTATTGGTCACCTTTACCCGTCACTCATGCTTAAAACTTCTCTTGCAGCCTGTCAACTTTGACAAATGATCCAGATACAACTTTCCTGGATTTCTCAGAAGGGTTGTGCGTCATACATAATTGTAACTAGGTACCTATATGGTTTATGATGACATAAGAGCTATTATTACTAAAGGATTACAAGTGCAATGTCATCAACCCACCTGTCTCATAAGTCTCGGAGAACCATACTTTGAAACGAATTAGCTAGCTTACTATCAGGTAATCCGACCATGCATATACCACCATACCCCACAAAAATGTAAACTGTTTTTATTGTTTATTTTTACTGATTGTTACACGGAATATGTTTTAGTGTGTTCCACAAATTATTATTCTGTATCTATTAAGGATAGGGATCAAATTAGATAGTTAGTATTTTAATAAAATACACCCACAATACCGAATTTATTACTAACGAAAACATTAAGCGCATTGCTTAAATGTAAATTTGTTCAGATCTTAAAAATAAAAATATTTATAATAACTTTATTTTTCACTCGAAGATAAACTAAAGCCTTTAACAAATTATAGATACTGTAAGTTCAAGAGATCAGCCAATGAAATATACTAACTATCAATATAGTTTCGAAACTTATAATAAATGCAAGTTCCTAACAAGCGTCGAGGACACGGTAATAATTTATTTACTCAGTCAATGACCCTTTCTCACTTCGAACTCACTTTACAGGACAAGGACTTTAATTAGCAACTAAATGGATAAACTTATTATATTATTATTATATAACATTTATTTTTTAAACCTGTGTCGTGCGTGTGCTTAAAAACAGAAAACCACAAGCCCGTCACACTAAGAGAGACGATCTCCCACGAGCGGACGGCGCGTAGCGTTCCCCGCGCGCCTCAAAGATCCAATAGACCCCCACAGACGGGGCCCTATAGGGCTGATGTTCAGCCGGGGTTGCGAGTGTAGCGCAATGAACGCAGCTTCGGCCCAGAACAGGAGATGGAACGGGGGGTTTTTAGACAGCAAAAGTCTGACATTGTCGCTCGCCTTAACCTGGTTTGGTTTGACACACGGTTTGTTGATGACACAAAGACTTGTTCCTTACGGGAATCGGACCTGACACACCTCGTACTGCAGCCTTTGCCCAGCCACTGCGCTCATTGTTGTCATTGTTATCAAGTTTTATTTTTTGTAAATTGTCTGTATTAGGTTTAAGAGCAAACTGTCTTAAAAGAAGTTAAGACATTTAAAAGAAAAAAATATAGATATGATTTTGGCCTCCATCATAAATCATTTTCATAAAATCTGTTATACATAATTTATATTTATGAACAGCGTAATAGAGTTCATATTTATAAATCATGCGATTGCTCGTTTTTATTACAAATATTTATGAATTGAATTCTAAGAACCGATTCCGATAAACAAACGCACAATCATGGATATGTGATAATCTTTTTCCTACGAAGCCGTAACCGCATGTTAATTTAAATATAAAAAAATAAAATAAATTCCTGATACGAGTGAAAATAATTCAAGGCTGAAATATGAAGGTTCTTGTTATTTATATATTCACATTACAATTTCAGCCTATGAATGATCTTCTGCTTGCTACTGACATGTTTTTTTATTTTATTATTTAAATCATATCTGTTTATTTTAAGACAAAGTTATCAACATCTAATATAAAAAATATGGAACTACTACCTTTTGCCCGCGACTTTGTTCACCTGCAGATTTCTGGTTAAAAAACTATCCTATGTCTTTTCTCGAGTTCCAAACTATGTCTGTACCAAATTTCACGCAAATTAGTTCAGAAGTTTAGGCCCGAAGAAAAGACAAACGGAGTTACTTTCGCATTTATAATAAAATTTTAGTTATTACAGATTGCATTTTCAAAACAAAACACCATTTTTGAATTTCTGTACTTGTAAATTTAAATTCAAATAAATATGAGTATCTCAAAGCTACTTGTATATTTCGAATGCATAACAAAAATTATGGTGGCCAGCAATTTAATTCACAACCTCCACGTAAAGTAGAAGTCCAAATTGAAATCATACAAATTATGATTAGTACAATTTGCATTTAACCTCTTTCCTACGAATATGTTTTCTATGTATATGTATAAGACAATAGAAAACTCATGTGGCTCGCATAATATCTGCGCTCGGCACATCACGGGTTAACCCAACTTTAATAAGCCCCGTACAAATACAGGATGTTTAAAATTCTATTCGATACACAAAGTTTCGTCACGCAAATGAGCTGTCATTTCAAACAGTCCACCACATCTGAGATTCGTCACACACTTCAACCCAATTGACTACCTTTTCAATTCACCCAAAGACGTGACTGATATTGAATGGACTGAAACCCCCTTTACATCAGAGGAAACGCCACTATAGTGAATTTGTTAATTAACCACACCTCATGAAGTGGCTTTAATTACACTACACCTGATTTATTTCGGATGTGCAAATTTAATTTTTGGTTGTAAGTAATTTATGCTTTTAAAATATGCGAGTTTTCAGTGAAGTGTGCAGTTAACCTCAATGTAAAGCGTGGATTATGGAGAAATAAATTGTAACCAGTTTTTATTTTAATTATTAATCTGATTTTGGTTTTTTCCGATATATCAACGGTTATTTTGGAAGTATGTGCACCTGTAATTAAATGATAGCCTAAGCTAACTATGACAAACTTAAAATGTATTAATATTTATGTACGTATTCTATGACATATTATTATAATACTATTTAATAAAAATATATTATTTGATTCATGACTTTATTTTTTTCTGATTAAATGATCAAGGAAGCTCACTTTTCGACTATTTAGTTCGGAATGAAAGATATGCTCTTATACGTACTGCTTAAGCCATCTCATCATCAAACTTAGCTATTCAATGAAACCTCTTTACGTTTCTACAATATTTGTTTTTTTGTCCACAGGCTTTGCTGAAGATATCTTCAGCTTACCTCAACAAGAAGATACCAAACATTCCAGACATAAAAGTGGATGGAGCTGAAGAGAAATGGTTAGTACCTGTACTTCCTAAGACCAAATCCTCAAACGACTATCTTCTATACTTATAAAAACTGTTTTGTCTCAACTTCTAATAAGAACAGTTTGAGGATTCGGCTTTAGGATTAATTATAAAAATTAATTCTATCGGTAATTTACGCTACGTCTATGTACGTAGTAAAATACATCGCAAAATTTAATTTATTTCAAAGACCTAATTCATATTTTTTTTCATTACGTGTTTGGATTTACTTTTCTTTATAACTAAATTAGCCTGAATATTAATATACCCTATCGCATTAGGTAGTGTTAGTAAATAAATAAATAAACATTTTGCGTTTAATATTGATAATATTTGCGTTAGATGTGCACAATAATCTCTGTAAATTAAAAATGCTAATACAAAAAGGCGTACGCTGTTAAAAATGGATTAGTTGTAATTGACTGCTTGCGTTATCTATTATACTATTAAATAACAATAGTCTGCACCAAATAACCTTTAAAGAAATATGTGAATTTATCTCGACTGTGTAACTTTTTACAAATGATCAAGAGTACACGTCAATTCAAATCATACTATTGAATTCGATCAATAATATTCCTAACCTAATTAAATGATGTGATTCAAAACAAATTATTAATATTATTGTTACTTCCAAATAATAAAAAAAGTATTTTCATTTAAACTACAAAATTGTGCCACGCTACAATGCCAAAGCAAATGCTATGCAATGCAATTTCAATTCTAATGCGAATGTTTTTAGAATTCATAATTAAAATACTCACTGCAAGAAATATACAAGTGTCAAAAATAATTGCTTCTAAAAATAAAATTAACAATAAAGAGAAATGAAATTAGATATTCCAACATAAAATAACGACAGTTAATTAAATTGACTCGAGTCCTTACATATTTAATTTTAATTAATATTGGCCTACTTTATTTCAGTTAAGTTATTGATCCCTTCTATACAGAACACTTATCAATAAAAGTTTCTTGTAAAGTACTATTTATATGGATTCAAAAAAATATTCAAATATATTTTGCCAAATATGGAGATCATGGGATCTTGTGTCAGAAAAACCTTGTGCTCAGAAAACCTTGAAAAATCCTTAACTACGGCCTAATTTAGAGGTTTCCAATCTATAGTAGGCTCTCAAAATACAAATAAGCTAGCGATCATTTTTATTAGTTACTGCTATGCGTATCTTATATGTATTTAAGGCCATATAATATAAGGTAAAAAGCCTTAACATTGATTTGAAAAACAACAGTAATGTTTTATAGATCTATATTCTTATCAAACACGGCTTTGCGAAAGCTAACTGGCTGCAATATGTGTATATCACCCTGTATTTATAATACATACAGGACGCCAATTGCTATTTTTATAATAGATTTTAATTTGGTATAAATATCATTACGATGAACCGTATATATCTATGCATCCAATAAGTTAGTAATTATAAAAATATTTATAAGCAAATTCAAAATTGTGCCAAAGAAGCAGTTAAAAACTTTATCCTACTTCCTTCATAGTGTACAGTAGTGCCATCTAGTCAATAAAGTCGAAATCAATTGCATATCGACTGGACTGCACCATAATAATTTCTAAAGCCACATTCATATTGCACGTTTGAGTGACTCGCGACAAATTGCAAACGTGGTCTACAACAATATTGTTACTTGTGGCACTTGAGTCATTGAATACAATAGACAATTTTATTATGAAATGATTGATAAAAAGGAAAGTTTGGTAATGACTATGTTTGACAATAAAATGCCCTATTTTTTATTATTTATTACTTACGCGCTAAAGCTTAAGAACTGACAAACCAGTATTAAAATATAGTAATTTTTACTCTACGTATAAAAACGCGCGATCTAAAAGTCGCTCAATTATCTAAGCTAGTGTACACGTTTCTTTATAAGTTTATAAATAAATATCTAATGAAGTCCAAGGACTCTCCAGTTCAGCCAGCCGCTATTAGATGGCGCTGTATAAAACTTTATTTCGTAGTTCGTAGCTTTGTCGTAGCAATGCACCGTAGCAACTGCTACGGAATATTCGTAACTGTTAAAGAATTGAAATATGGTTGATTTCATGCTTGTTTTCAGTAATATTATAATCAGCAATATCACATACTAGAAACTGTATTCCTATATGATATCTAAGTCATAATTTATTCACTGTTGACAACCAAACGGTGTTTCGGAAGAACAAAAATGTGCAACATCTGGATTGTATGGATAATTTTATGATTAAGCAATCTTTGGGTAGAGATAAGCTCTCGTGCGTTGGTTATACCCCAATCGCAAACGTGCCGAGGTCGTTGACCGACCATGACCTGTGTCCGTAACGGATACGTTTAGGGCCGACAAACGTTATATTATACTCTCCTTCCGTTACAAAGACTACTTGTGTAAAAGAATTCTGCACTTCTCATTATTTAATAAATTTTAAAAGAAATTGATAAACTTTTATAGGTGGTGACTCTTTATGAAAAAACCTACTAATTACTTGTATTGAAATCTATGTAGTTAATATATTTCTAAAACAAGAAAAAAATAAAAGATGGTAAAAAGCAAATTATTCCGTATATTTATTTAAATTACTCCATAAAATATAATTTTAAATGTTTTATTATATATTTTAAAGTACCGAATACTTTAATTTAATTTATTTACATAAAAGATTTTTTTAAATAACAAATTTATTACAAGACTTCTTTTTTGCTTTCCAATATGACTTAGATAACTAGACATTGTATAAGTTAAGCCAGTCATTTACAAACACACGCACTCGTCTCTAATTTTTCGCCATTCAAACCTAACAAAGCCTCAACCTCATTCAACTAAAACCGTCATCATCACCCATAAGATTAATTAACCAAAAACTTTCAACTTAATACTCAGTATAGTACTTAAAGCCCTAAATTACAATTCAACTACAAAATGGGAGTATTGTTCCTAACTCACGTACGCACTATCCACCGTTCAGATTCGTCGAATTGGTTGCAAACTGAATTCTAGCTGATACGTGCTACAATTACTGAACAAAAGTCAGCTATTACACTTCAAAGGGCACGTTGCGTCGATTAACTTGATGCATTTGCAGTTGCACTGACATGATATAGACTCCGCTAATTAACACGCATCACGTATACTGTAAGGAGGCTTAATGAAACACTTGATGCCATTTTATAATAACGGTGTGCCCCTGCATAGTAAGGATGTCCAACTACTAAAAGGCTAACTATTACCAAACTTTAAATCGCTTTTTCTAAAATTGTCTCTCTTGGCAAAAACAAGCACTACAATAAAAGAATTGTCCTTTTTCCAGTTGTTGAGATGAACTGTCGATTTTAAGTTTGTTTCGCGATTAATGTGAAATGGCGTTATATATTAAAGTTGTATATTATACTAGGTTTTATGTATATTTAGCCACCAATCCGCAATTCCATAATTTCCGCATCCTCATATGCCTAACAATTCTCAAAAGGCTATTCTCCTTAACTCTTCTGGTGTCCGTAAGTGACTCCGATTTCTTATCATGTCATGACCCATTCGTTCTTTTGCCATCTTAAACAAAAAGTGATAAGTTACTCGAAAAAAGAGTACATGTGTTACTCGAAAAAAGTAACTATTAAAATTGTTACAAAATTGTGCGTAATCGAAAAATCACAGCGAAAATGTAACTAACTTATTTTTTATATCTTTTTTTATATATCTTTACATAATCGAGACAATTCCTGGAATTCCAGTAAAAGTTTATTTAAGAATCTTGTTAAATGCATACTGAAGTTGGGGTATACCCGTTCCACTCAACCATTTGCAGGGTGTAAGAATGGCACGTGCAGGTGTGGGCACTGATATTTAATATCCGCTCTAGACGCTCGTGCGACGGCAACTTGTGGCAGTCACATTCACTTTGAACTGGAAAAAGCGATAGAAAATTGAAAACGTATGTATGTCGACTAAATAACGTTGGAATATTATTTCATACTAGCGATGTGCCCCAGCTAAACACGCGTATTTAACTCCCTGCTGACGTTGGAAGGGACGCCATTCCCCAATTTTCCATTTTCTTTTCTATTTTTATCTCATAGAAATCTTTACCTGACTATTACAATTAACTATGAAATAATATTGCCATATATGTATTTAGGTTAAGGCAATCTGGATTGAATTTAAAGTTTTCATAATAATTGTAGGAACAACCTAAAACTTTCACGATAATTCCAAATATCTTAAAACAGCTAAGCATGTTAATTAAGGACGAAATCAAAAATCGTTGTCAAACTCTAAATAACACAATATAAAACTAAATTTTCTCATTTCACAAATTGGTATATCAGTAGTTTCTAAATAATATTAGGAAGTATAACTTATAAAAAGTCCTTTAACTCCTATATATAATCCTTTACAAATTTTCGTACCCACCTCCCATGTAGCGGGCACTTATCCCGGCGGTAACACAAACATTACAAAAAATAATGATTAAAATGTAAGTAACATGAGTATTGAAATATTATGCCTGACATGGAAATCCAAATTGCACTAACGAAGTATTTCTAAAGACTTGGCGTGTACCTTAACTATGAAAGATGATCTCCTGAGACCTTATTCCCAAAGTTAGACATTTCTCAAGATTATTAACTTAAAAAATGCATCTATCTGCATTATTCTAGAGTTTCAACTCACTATAACTTTCAAAGAACCATTCGTCTTCATTCATTATGATAAATAAAATAAACAAAAGTTTCGCTTTAAGAACAAAATCTGATATATTTCATAAGCCCGTGTTACGTTCGTGGAACGCTACTTAATAAGTTAAAGCTAACATAACTAATAAGTTTGAAGTTCAGAAATTGATGTTCGTCTTAATCTGTGAACTTTGTATACGCGTTTGTTACAGCTAATAGAAATTATTATTAATTTCGTAAAACCCTTAGACTATTTGTGTTTATATATTGCTTTGATTCTCCAAACAGTGAGTCAGTCTGACAAGA